CCGCCCACCTCAGCTCCCTCCACCGGCTGCTTTCTACCTCGGCAATGGCTCCAACCAGGGCTTCGACGAGGAGCACCAGCCTGACCTCTCCTTGCTTCGAGGAAAGCGTTTTGATGGCCTGATGCAACTCCCTGATCCCCAAGGCAACACCATGGCCGCTGCCGACCTGTTCAACCTCAGCTTCTTCTCCACTAGCAGTAGGAGCACGAGTAGCATCCGTAACAGCAACAATGGCGGTGACCAGTATAACCAGATGCTGCTCGCCAGTGATTTTAGCGATGCCAACGGAAGGAGCGAACTGACGTCTCTCTTCTCTGGGAACCTTGTGAGCGATCACGTCGCCGGCGGACTGACCTCTCTCTATAACCAGAATGAGTCCAACCTCCTCCCCCGGATGTCAGCCACTGCATTGCTTCAGAAGGCAGCTCAAATGGGCTCGATGACCAACATCGGGCACTCGTTATTGAGAGGATTTGGCAACTCTTCTTCAAGCAGTCCGAGGCCTCCCAACACTGGCGGCGGCAACAGCGGAGACGGCCTGCAAGCTCGAACAGAGAACGAGACTCACCTCCGAAACCTGATGAACTCGCTCGCGAACGGAAGAACCGGCCTCATCGGCGGGCCCCAACAGGAGACCAGGGAGTTCGGCTCCGACGCTAAGCTTAATCTTTGGGGCACCGACCAGCTAACGAGGGATTTCTTAGGAGTGGGCGGCATGGTGATGAGGAGCATCAGCGGCGGGACATCCCGACAGGAACAGAATCACGGCATCGACATGAGCGAGTCAAATCCAAGATGATGTCGCGGTCTTCAACCCAGTCCCCTGCCAGTGGGAGCCTGCAATCAGGAAGAAGAGAGGGCGAACAGGAAGCCAAGAATCAAAGAAGCAGAGTGTAGTATGCAACATATCAAAGATGGTAAATTGAGCAACAGTTGAATTAAATTTCCTTTTGATATCTAATTAGTATATAGTAGAACATTAATACCTTATCTACCTTTTGTTGCATCTTCTACTTCATATCATCAGATCTCTCCTATAGATACTGATAATTCTGTCTCCGGTAGATGTCGTCCAGATCATTTAACATGGTGCCAATGGGAACTTTGTATTCACACGCTTATGCACTCAAACTCTGATCAGCCAAGAATCCAATGAACATGATAGTGTGATTATAATCTGACTTATTTCAAACCTATATCTCTCCCCTTCTTTTTATATCATTATAATGCTTTAATTAAGGTGCCGTATAACTCTCAATAACCACTGGATCATCAAGCACATTTCTGGCCCACAACCTTTTTAGTTCATGGATCACTGACCTGTAAACCTACTTCAAAGAAGCAACACATTAGACTAATTGTTACCTTAAGGCTAGAGAGAGAGAGAGAGAGAGAGAACAGAAAGCACAGAGACATTCTTTTAAGAATTTGGGATGTTTTTATTATTACATCAGGAGTGCTATATTCAGTATAATATATCAATGTCAGTACTGCCTTCTGTGTAGCTCTGCCCTAAAGATTCAAGCTACTGACATGGGGGATTACTACTACTATATGCCTAAGGTACACACACCAAAATAAAGCTTATTGATATAGCAATTATTTTATGGGACATATTTGTTCAAATCAAATCCTAATTTTAAAAAAATCATATTAGGATAAATATTGAAGATACTTCTATACTGGTATTATGATAATCTTTTTATGTGTATATTATTGATTGTAATCGATCCATTCAATTTAAAATCTGTACAACTAAGCAGTCATGTAATACAAAATACAAAATTGAATTACCAATTTTCATATTCTCCACAAGTTTCATATTCTTCAAAGTCTTTCTGGGTGCTTGACACTGTTCACCAATAGAAAATTTCATGTTGTACTTGGAAATAAACCAACATGTGCAACACTCATGTGCTTAACAAGATATATGGTCCTAGAAGAAACAGAGTAAGCCCGAGTACGTTAAAGAAGAACATATTCGAGAGCATAATAATACCATTAAAAACAGAGCATGAAAGAAGTAAAAGAATACAACTATCAAAGTATACTAATTTTTGTGAGCAAATAACCATAACATACAAGGAAAAATGTTTATATAACTCGTGCAGACTACCACACACACAGGTCATGCATGCGGTTTCTCACATTTGTGCATGGCTGATTGGTGCTTACGTTAATCCTTCCTAATATTAACGCACACAGAGAAGTAAATTTGGCACAACAATTCTCTTGTATGCAGTGAATAGCAAAACAGAAAGAATCAAATATATGGAAAGAGCACATCTGACAGGTGACCATATGAGATACAAGTCCTAGAATAACACCTGAAGGAAAACAACCATCACAATAAGGAATAATGAAGGCAAGAAAAAGCTACAGATGACTAGATCTTAAGGGCTGCTAGAAGCTCATAAAAAATAGGTTATAATGTTATAGATATACATCCAGTGAGAAAATGGAAACTATAATTAGGGTCCTAAAAACATGTCACTGTGGATATCCAAGCATGAAAGTTTACAGGACAATTAATCATATGGGCATCGAAGGAAGCAAAATATCAATGAAATATAACCACAAACTGTTCTCCAAACAAAGATCTCACTGAATTCAGACTTCCAAATACTAGTAGTTGTACTTTTTGCTTTGGGTAGAAACTCCTACTTTTTGCTCTCTGGAGCACCGCTACTAGTAAAGTGTTTTCATATACCGTGGATTTTTATGCTGTGGATGAAGTGGTTGTAATAGTTTGTGGAGTTACGCCGCTTCTGATTTCCCCTTCCTTTGCTGTGCAATCAAGTACATCATACATGTTCTTATGATTTCCTTGTCCTTGTGAAGAATGATGTGCTCCTATATATTTTATCTATTAGCACTGATTTGGTGTGTGTGTGTATATATATGATACCTTCTCTTGCCATGCTATGTTCAAGTTCTTCCTCATGCTTCTGCTTCATCATGTTTAGAGTATACCAGCCACGAACAGATCTTGCGATTTAAAATGTGAGAACATGGAAACTATAATTATGCATGAAAGTTCACAGGGCTGTCATTCGATATGAGCATCAAAGAAAATGTGATGAGATATAACCACAAATTGCTTCAAACACAGATCTCACTGGATTTAAACCACCAAATTGTGAAGGCAGAAACGTTTAACAGAGGCTTGATTGAAGCAGTATCCTAATCTAACCATTATTCCAGCATTAATGCAATCAACAAAGCTTTGATAAGTGATTTGATCCGACTATCCCTATATCGCTAACAATTTTGGTATTAACACAAAAGGAACTGCTATTCATGGCAACGACCGACATCAAACGAACAAATTAACCCAAACCCTAGATCCAAGGAGCAGCATCGCACGAACAATCCATGGCAACGACCGATACATTGAAAGCAATCAAGCAGAGAGATCTGAGACGATCAGAAAACAGGATGCAGGATTTACCATCGGCAAGCTGGCATAAATCGCGATCGCAAGATCTCGATGTACCGTGACCGGGAATCCACGAGCGCGACGGGGAGATCGGAAGACGAGGATGGACGACCCGCTGCCTCCTTGTTTCCGAAGCGTCTTCTCTATCCCCTAACCGAGCGTCGCATTCTATCGAGCGCGGGGAGAAGGGAGAGGGGTCCAATTTATAGGAGGCGAAGGCGAGTCAGACTCGGGATCGAGCATGTACGAGCTTGACTCGCCCAAGTGTCTGCCGGGTCAGGAATCGGTCAGGCTTGCACTCCGGTCCGAGCTCGTCTAATGTCGACCGAGGATTTATCTCGAGCCAAATTCTAATAATTCAAATATCGGCCGATTATTAGTAAATGTCATAATAATTAATCTTTTTCCACAGTTAAAAATATTAATGGCAAGATTTCATAAACCATAAAAAATAATACAAAATTTAGATTTACCCTCATGAGATTTTGGGCCGTTATTATTAACTTGATTTATTAATTAGGAAATAAAACCTCTTTTTTTTTTTGTTTCTTCTTATAATTTCTTACTTAGATGTTTAAAACAAAACAGTATATTTAATTTAAAAATAAAAACAGTTACATGTTATATTAAAATTATAAAATATAGGATCATATAATAAAATAATTCATATAATACAGTAAAAAGAGGATGATAAAGTAGTAACTTGAGTTATTCTTCTTCATACTCATAAGAAAAAAAAAAAAAGTAAATGCTATTGAGAACAAAATTAAATATTTGTAATATTAAATAATACATGTGTGTATATACAGCATAGGAAGATGCAGCAGAGGATCGCTTCATTTGATTACGTGAGCTTCTTATTCTGCATGTGGACATTGCAAGAGCTTACGTGAGTGAGAATCCAAGGCGAGGGTGAGAACTACATAACTGTGTCATAGACTCGAGATTACTCTGATAGAGATTAGTTATCGCGGATGTAAGTTATAGAACTGCGAGTGAGAGACGCCGAGACTCGAGGGATCAGTTACAGCAACGTGAGGAGAGAATGATGGAGCGAGGCATGAACCGCCACTATACAAGGAAGGATCTCTCTCTCTCTCTCTGTGCTTAAGAGTTTAGTATAGATCCTCTCTAAGATCTCTCTCTGCTCTGTTGAGCCGCCTTTGAAGATACAGCATCCAACTTACAGGTAAAATATCTTTTCTCTGTCTATGTCCTTAGTCTTCTCGTTTTGCTAACTTCTAGGGTTCACTGAACCGTACATGATGATGAGGTGATCCTCTCTGGTCACAAGTTTCTTAGTAGTTGAAGGCGACCACTGCACTTGTTGTTATGCTTGTTCTTGCAATGGATAGAAACTGTACTTGTTGCTATCTGGAGCACTTCCGCCAGTAATTGTGCGTTCTTATATCATGGTTTGGTTTGATGCTGTAATGGTTTGTGGAGTTACACTACACCTCTTCTGATTTCTTCTTGTTTTGCCGTGCAACCAAGTTCTTTCTCCTCCTGCTTCATCATGTTTGGAGTACATCAGCAGTTGCTGTTTATCATGTTAAGAGTAATGGATGTTTGTGTCATTGTTGCAACAGAGACATCTGCTACTGCCATGGCACTGAGCTTGCACCAGAGCTGGGAAGCAGCAGGCCATCCGCACCCCGGCGTCGGCCTTCTTCACGACAGCCAGTCCGAAGTAGCCGACGCTCTACTCGGCTTCTTCTCCGACCCTCCCGACGCCGCTCACCTCCCCATCGACTACCTCCTCGACCCCCCCGGCGACTGCTTCCTCCACGACGACGCAATGGCCAATCCGCTCCCCTGCTTCTCCGCGCCATCCGCGGTATCCCTCCCTCCCGGCCTTCATGCACCGGGCGACGACTTCGATCTCCTCCACCGCCCTAAGCGACCGCGGAGCTGCAGTGACTTGTACCGACCGTCGGATCTCACGTTCGAGGCCAGTTCCTGCAATGTGGCAAGTTGGCCGGCGCCGGAGCTCATGGCAGAGCTCCTCGTGGCAGCCCCGCCGCCGGCCCGCGGGATACCTGCGTGCGACGGGGATAGGAAGTTGGGCGCCGGATGCTTGTCGGCGCAGACCGTGGCGGCGAGGGCGCGGAGGAAGAGGATCAGCGAGAAGACGCAAGAGCTGGGGAGGCTGATTCCCGGCGGGAACAAGATGAACACGGCGGAGATGTTCCAAGCGGCGTACAAGTACGTCAAGTTCTTGCAGGCCCAGGTTGGAATCCTTGGGCTCATGGGCTCAATTAAGGTACGCAAGACCCAACTCTTCTGGGCTCGATCTCATGACTTAGGTTAGGTGAGTCCACTTACTGTTCTTGCTCGGTGCAGGGATGGAAGGCACCGCAAGAGGTGGAGCAGAAGCTTCAAGCTCTACTAGCATCTACAGCCGTCCAAGAGAAGCTGTCCGGCGAGGGACGGTGCATCGTGCCGGAGGCGGTGATCGGAGCCATCTCCGCAGACCGAGACATCGAATCGAACATGCCAGTCTCAAGAGACCTCGATCGATTCATCGAGTCGAGTAGACAATTGAACCGGGATTCAGAGAATTAGTTCTCTACGATAGTTGTGGTAGATAGATTGATGACTTGTTTGCTTTGTTCTTACTGGTTGTAATCCTAATTCAACATTGTAGTTGTCTTAATTCAAGTGCGTTTTGGGGTCATTTAGTATTTTGGTTTAAAGCCCAGTATCTAAAATAAATGGACCTCTGGCCCACTCATTCCATCGTTATGACGTGGCTACATCATAGCCATTGATCTTCCTGCAATCCGTTGACGATAAGAAACAAAAAAATGTCTGCATAGTTTCACTTTGAACTAAGATTTAGTATGAAGCTAACATTTTGATTGTTATGACTTGGATGATACAAAAGAATCCAGTACAGGAAGGGGTTCCAGTGGGAAGCCATGGCCTCAGAACATAAGATTCGTTATGATGAAGTTGACAACCATTGAAAGACAACCATGGTTTCACTCAACAGCTTCCCTCCAAAGAACTTACAATGCACTGCACAATAGCAGAGTTGAAAATTGCTGTGACATTGTTCTATGACATAATTTGCTTTCCCTGTGCACGAGATTACAAGCTTCAAACAATTAGAGAGGGAAAAGAAAAATAACAGAGCAAGAATCAAGTATGCTAAGAAGACAATGTCAAGAATGACAGAAATTGTAGGAAATTATGTTGTTCCTCACTTTACTAGTAGTCTTATGCTGCTCACTAGCTGATCCTTTGGCTTTGCTTTCTTCGCTTAACTGCCTCAGAAGACTTTTCATCCTTTGTTTGCATTCATGGAGCTTAAAACAAAATGCAATTTTAGCTACTGGTTAGATGAAACAAAAGGGATCAAAGTAGAGCTTTTCTATCTTATACCTCATGTTCGGTGTTTTGATATTCATTCCACACCATCGTCTCGTCGCTTCTTAAGAATCCAATTTCGGAATTCAAAGCTTTAAGCTACAGAATGCAGCAACATGCTAGATGATTTAAGTTTTCTTGAGGTCTTCATATGTAACACCATAAAAGACAGAGGAACAACACTTATTCTTGAACCCAATCTTCATATATAACATAAAAGAAGACACCATGGTGCCAGAAATTTTGGTCACACTGAAATTTAAACACAGAAAACCACATTATTTTGCTGAAATTTAGCAGGAAAATTTTGTAGATAGTTGAGAATGTTATTACTTATTGATGCCCACTTCATATATATAGGCACTGATTGCAATTGACTTTGATATGAATGTAAGATTTATATAAATATATATCTTTAAAATATTTTATCAAGTTACAGAACTCCTGACCAGGAATACAGTGATTCATCTAACCTGAAGTCATTGGCATGCATTTAAGATGGAGGACAAGTATCTGATAAATGTTAAGAAATTTATCCTACATTTTATTTGCATATTTGGAATAACTTAGAAGATGCTAAATTTAATTGATATTTTCACGTAAAAATGTAAACATAATTAATGTGTAGGACATGGATTGATCAAAATCATGCTGAGTATAGAATATAATGAAAGATAAACTGCATTCCAGAAAAGAAATGTCTCTTTCAACATAACTTTCTCCAGTTAGAACTTCTAAATATATTAGGTCATGGAAGCAACAATCAAAAGGCAATGAGGATCAGTTGTAACAAATGTAAGGCTTCGATTGATGCCTCCTTCAAGGACAATGTAGATGCCTCACCATTTTTCTTTTAATCCCTTTTTTTCACATTTATCTCTATAGAAAACAAATTATGTCATAGACTACCAATCAAGTGTTGCATGGCCACAACAGATCAAGATAGATTACAAGAATAATTCACGAATAAATAGAGGAACACTGCAATGATCTTCAGCTAGCCAAAAACCACCTAGGAAGATGAATAATTACCATCAAAACATCTTTACATCTATAAAATAGAACCTATCAGCTCCTATTTGCATTTCCACCAAAACAAATCAAGATTGTTCTAGATAAATGACATTGTAACTTGACACAATATTTCGTTCTGCTTCCAGAAAAAAAAGGTAACAGCAGATTGGATCAGCTAGTTTTGCATACATAAGCTCCTTAATGAACATAATTCTATATGAAGAACTTAACGTGAGATGTTTGTTGATGCGTATAATGATAAGATATTTCTGAAAGATTAATCTTTTTGTTACATCCCTAGTTTAATTACATCTGAACTAACAAAAGCGTCGGAAATCTGTCTTTTTTCCATTTCTTTTAATGAACAATAACAATGGGATCAAAAACATTCATTTTATGTAGGGATGAAGAAGAACCGCCCTTGTCCAATCGAAAACACCTCCCATCGTAGGGCCATTTGACACCATTCGCAGCTATTTATTTCCAGAAAACATGACTCCTGATCCCTTGCTGGTTTCTCATTGGCTTTGTGCGATTTTGCTAGATTTGTTTTAGTTCAGCCATTTTGACAACCAGGTTACGTGCATTATCGTCAAGAACGTGTCCACGTAACCTCGTGAGAGGAAATTAACAGTTCTACAACCCAAGATTAGCATGATGATCAAGCAAGATATCTCTGATACTTTACCGTCTCACGTTTATCCCGTCGATCGTGCAAAGCACGCTGCAGCTCGCTCGTCTTACCAATGCACGTCTTCAGCGCCTTGGCACTCCTCAACCCATCTTCCTGCTAGAACAACAGAAAGGTCAAGAACAAGCGAAAGAAGAGAGCCTGATACGGCGGAGCGAGAACGGCGAGAAGGAACGCTGACGCTTTGTTCGTCCATGCAAGTCTTCAGCCACTTGGAACGGCGCCCGAGGGTGTCGACCTGGTCTTGGAGGCGGTTCTGCTCATGGTTGAAGAACTTCCTCCGAGCGATGAAGGCGGCGAAGAGGTCCGAATCCGACGAGCTCGCCTTAGATTCTTCCACGTGGGCGGATCGCGCCGGAGTGGGAGTCATTCTTGACTCAGATCCTTTCTTGGGAACCATTCTTGGGGACCGGGAAGGAACCAAAGAACGACAAGGAACGGGAAGCGAAGACATTAGCTTGCCATGGGAAGGAACCAAAGAACTACAACGGATGGAAGCGGGTCAATGGGAACCGCTACATTAGCTTGCCCTCTTATCGGGTTCGGATTTTAACGGGTTTGGATTTGGATAGTGGATACCCGACCTAATTTAATTCCGAATATAAGTAAGCTTAGCAGCAGGTGGAGCGTTTCGTATATGTGGATTTATCGAACTCATTTAAATGAGATGGATTATTTTTATACGTGCATCAAGATCCGCGCACCAAGCACCTCATGACCATCCGATGTGAGGTCATCATATGATAAGGTTCATTTACTGATGTGACAACTCGAACTAATACTTGTGTGGGATCAAGAAATGATCAACAATTGTAATGGTGTGCCTGTACAGTGTAATGGTCTTTTTCTTTTTCTTTTTTCCCATATAATCTCATCTAATATTCATCCTCTTTATATATATATTGCTGAAGATCTAACTATGTTCATGTTGAGATTTACCACTGTTAAAAAATTATACAATTACTGTTCTATAATTACTGTATCATTTTTATATAATATTATTTTTAAAAAATTATCATAGAGTCGATGAGCAATATAAATAAAGAATAACACATTAGCTTCTTTAGTAATCCTCGTATCAATTAATTCAATAGTTTTTTGATTTGATAACTCTCACTTGTATCCACGAAGAAAATTAAATTCTTTAATATATAAGACCAATTACATGACGCTTAAGTTATCACCACTTAAGTACGATTTTCCTTGTAAAAACTTCTTTCTCAACCTCTTATGGTAAGTAACTTTTTTTAGTCGTGACCTCGGGGTCGACGCGGCTGGTTCAAGGGTCCGAATGGTTGGGATCAGGCGTAGCTCCTCTCGGGATCTTGTGGCGGCCGATTGCGGGGGGTCTGGCTGGAAAGTTCCGTGACGCTGGGTATGGTCAGCTTCGGTCGAGTACCTGCACACAGGTCGGGTCGGCGGTTCGGCCCGACCCCTCCGACGATCAAGTCAGTGATTGGGAGAGGAGTTTTTGGGTGAAGTGGTGCTTCCCCTCTATTCGTTGGGAGCCAGAGGGTATTTATAGGTGAGTTTGATGTTACCTGATGTGCCATCCTGCCGGAGCAGGGCCGTACTTCTGATGGCGTCTGTCGTCGTCGTGGGCGTTGCGTGGAAGGTCGAGCTGCCGCAGGGCATGGCGAGCTTCAGTCGATGCCTTCCCCTGCCTTGGCCGGTCGTGCGGGGTCAGACGATGAGGTCGTCTGGGTACGGTGGGTGTGAGTGCACATTATGTTGGTGTTAATGCTCGCTCCCTAGGTCAGTGTGTCGTCCAGGGGTGGCTGACGTCGTGGTGTATTACGTCAAATCTGGTGTGTTACGTCAAATCAGTTTTTATCCCTATCATATTCCCCCCCCGAAAGGAGCTATGCGTCGGTTTTTGCATGCAGGGGGTCCGATGCATGGCTTCTTACTTCAGGTGGGCTGGCCGCACAGGCGTGGTCTCGGGCGGCGTGCAATCGAGGGCCGAGGAGCACAACGCAAGCGGGCTGACCGCGCAGGTGTGGTCTCGGGCGACGTGCAGCCGAGGGTCGAGGAGCACAACGCAGGCGAGCTGACCGCGCAGGTGTGGTCCCGCTTCGCTTTAAATTTGGCGGCGGCAGGGATCAAAAAGCTACCGCATTTAAGTTCATTTCCTGAAGGGGAGTTGGCCGCACGTCTTCGGGCATCGAGATCGAGGCGTCCGGCTGCTGCCGCTTCAGCGGGGTTGCCACGTCAGGCCTTCATTAAGGCGGAGCGCCTTTGGGTGTCTTCTGATGCGACGTGACGGTTACGCACGTGCGCGGGGGGCTGCCGCCCGCTCTCAGGAGGCGAAGGGACGCTGGTTCTGGCGGGATATCCCCTTTAAATAGCGGACGCCTGACTTCACCTCTATCTTTCGCTGTTGTGTTTCCTCCTTCGAGTCCCGCTGTTGCCTCCCCAGTCCTCTTCCTAGCCTTCTGCGTAGTCTTTCCCTCTTTCTAAGGTCAGTTGAGATGTCGCCCTCTTCTTC